CTTTGACTTGTGAGCAGCCATTAGATGTCACTTTGTCATGCTTCTCTTCATGTAACAAGTCACATGACTTTGATCCCAACTTGAGTGATGTAACAGACTTGGTGAAAACAGTCAAGTGTTTGACATCCAGCAGTACGAGTCATGCTCCAAGTGATGTTAAATTCCTTTCAGTTCTTGGTTACAAAAATTGCCGATGGCTGTTCAATGATTCATGTGAAACACAAAATTACAAGATGGCAACTTTGATGTTTGCAGAAATGCTTAAATTAAAATTGTTGACATTTTATCTGTCATCTGACAAAGTTACAGAACATATTTTAAAATACTATATTATTTTAAGAGATACTTTACTATTATCATCATAAAAAAAGTGAGCGAGTTTAGTTTTGTGCCGCATTCAGCAATACTCCAGCTATATGGCGATTGTCTGGACCAGGCAATCCAGTGATCAACAGCATGAGCATCGATCTGTGCAATTGGGAACCGATGACATGTGTCAACCAAGCCAGCGAGCCTGACCACCTGATCCACTTACTCTAGAATTTAAAACATCTCCAAGGGAAATCTGCTAAGTAAAATGTAATACTGATATTAAACATAACTGTGGGAAATGGCCTTTAGGAAAAATGTGGATCACAGCATTGGCTTTTATGTTCTTATACTGCATTAAGCAGTATTTGCTATCATTATTCAATGCTTCACTGTTTCACCTGATATTACAATCTGAGTTTATAACTATCTCAGGCCTGGTTTCTAAAATCTCAGGCAATACTGGGCTGAAAAACAAGCAAACTGATAAATACTATTATTTATCACTTCCATGCATGTTTCAAACTACAACTTATGACTTGCCACTTGTCCCCCGTTGTGCAATATTGTTTGTGACCCAATCATCCTCCATTGTTTCATGCAATCAGATAATCCTCTACCACAGGCCAGTCTGAGCAAATATTGCTCCAGCGGTATTTTCTGTGTCCGGATGATGTCCTTGTTCTCAAAAACAACAAACTGCCCTATCAGCCAACCATTTCTCACATCTGTCAGAAAAGTGTGACAGAAAGAGTTGATCTTGTTAATCTGCACATCAAACATGGGCTGAAGAACTCTGTAAATCATGCAATCTTGAAGACTGAATGGCTAACTTTGACCTCATGGCCCAATCTGGATGGCCATTGATGGAACTCCAATATGGCTGCTCAGTCATTCATTGCACAGGTTGGAACCAAATTAGAATTAGAGAGTTACAACTGGGATGATTTGATAATGCCAGACCCCTTCTGTGTGGTGGTTGTCCTCAAACAAAGAAATGAAAACCATTGGTCCTCTGGGGAACAAATATGTTTAATTTCTGGTGACATGGTTTTGTACTTCTGTGACAATGATTGCAAAACTAGTCCCTGCTTTTGTTTTCGTTAACATGACATGACCTTCAAAATGATTGACATTATTATACATGTAATCAGCTCATCTCCATAAAATCAGATTCCACTTCAAAATTAATCAGAATCAGATATTTTGAAAGATGACAGTCTCAAGGCAATTCCAAAGAGCATGAGCATACTCCATCCAATGGTTACATACCCAGCAACATTACACAGAAATCATGATTTGCAAGCTACATGACACAAAGTGGAAGCTTTCAATCTAAGCTACATATTAAGTCGGGGTTTTTTCCAATTTGACATTAAAATTTATCTGTGCAAAGTGGACAGTTGAAAGTTTCTTGCAAAGTGACTGGGTCTCAACTTTCAAATACACTGATATGTCTCTAATTTTCAAAATCAAGAAAACCCAAAACATTAGATCAATCACTTGTCAAGTCACACTTTTTATAAGACACTCTGCCGATATACATAAAGGTTAGATTTAAAAGTTTTACATGTTCTGATAAATCTATATATTTCACAGTTTGTTTTAACATGACAGCATAATCTTTTATCCCTTGACTAACAAACTGCATTTTTCACTTTAAAGAAGCTGCACAAAACAACCATTTCCAAGAACTAAAAGCTCCCATTACTCATCTATCCCCCAAAATCTCAAACAAGAAAAATATATTTGAGGAAATTATCATGACATGAATCAGTATTTACAATGATATATAATGGTTATACAGAACACTCAGCTTATGCTTGTATGCATGTGTTCATACAGACTTTCATGTAGCCATGACATAAAGATGCTAATTTCTAAGGAAAAGATTTTATCTTGTGTGATATTTTGTCTAATGAGGCAGGAAACATGGCCCACCTTGCAAAATACTTAATAATTTCAAAATAGGTAGTGGATACAAAACACACCCTGTAGCATGATTGTATAGATGAAGTGATTATAACTCCCATACTTTAACATACACTAACGCCAGGGTCGCCTTGAGAATTTTTGGAAAAGTCATAAAAAATCACAATCATCCTCACTGCACCTACAAAAAATCCTAAGTACTGCCTACTGTTGCATATTCCATATTTTCCTATTCATGTTCATTCTTTTCTGACCATGGTGCCATATCCAGAACAATGTACTTGAGCCCCTTCCCTTGTCTCCATCCAAACCCCTTGTTCCTCCTTCATTGTTACATGGTCAATCTGTCACATTAAAACAGCATCAATAACACATAATAGCCTGTCTCCCTCTCCCATGACCACACTAGATGACCACACAGGGACATTAAAACCCAGTTCTCCAAACACTTCTTAACCACAAGTGACTACAATATTTCTGGAAACGATCTTTACAATGACCAGTCCCTCGAGACCATCAATTCATAGTATGTAACTTGTAATGACTCCCTAAGGGCTAGTCTTGCATATCTAACCAATCAAATTGAATGTTCTGCTTGACTTGATGAGCCATGACCAATCAAATTAAGTTCAACCTCTTTCCACCCATCAGACTTCATTATTCAAATGCCTTCTTACTGTGAAAGTGTTAAATCAGTTTATGACCATGTGCTACTTACATGACAACTAAGTTAAACTGTACAACCCCTTCAGACAGATTTTACAGGCTAATCTAATGAAAGTGCTTGTTTCCCTTAACATGCTATGTCAACTGACCAATACCAACTGATGCCAGGCCCTTGAGACAAGCTCCACATCAACACTGGACAAATATGTTTAGGCAACATAAATACTATCAATAGAAACCCATAAAACTACAAAAGTTGACATAATGACAATTTACCCATAATAAAACCTTGTGTATCATACTCAAGTAAATGTCAAAAGGCATAAATGACTGTCATTGGCAAAGGTTTAAACTTTATAGCTAACACAATGTACGCACATATTTAGAAATAGTAACAAAGGGTGCCTTAATCATTTTTGATACATAAAAACTGATACATATGTTCTAACACCTCATTATCCATAAAGTAAATTATCTTTGATGAAATTGATTAGAATAAGATCCTAGAGGACATGAGTACACAAATGGTAAAATCTAAAGAGGTGAGGTGAAATTGGGTTTTACGTTGTGCTTGAGAATATTTCGCTCATATGACGACGTGCATGCATGTGTATGTGTATGTGCGGCTGCTTGTACTAGCCCAGACTTAAGCTGGTTTTATAGTGCTAGCCCACTGAGATACCATGCCGCAATGAAGCATGAATACCCCACTCAGACACATTATATACTGACTCCGAGCCAACCAGTCGTTGTTGTACCCATTAATGCCGAGCACCAGGCAGGGACCAACAAGTACCATATTTTAACGTCTTTTTTGTATGACGCGGTCGGGATCGAACCCGCGACCTTCTGCTCTAACCACTACACCACGGAGGCAGTCCGTAAAATCTAAAGAAACCTACAATCATATTCCCAACACCTGAACTATTCAATCTCTTCAACTTATCTGATCAGCCATGTTAACTCGACCTTATCACAACCAAACTAATCAGAATTTCCATTTTCATTAGGCAAACAGGTGCCATACTCCAGATAACAACAGATTAATGGACACCAAATGAATTCCAAGATAATTACAATAAATCTGTACTCCCCAGGCAGCCATAACAATGACACTTCCTTTTTGAGTTTTTAACTTCATGCTGCATAGATGGACATGCTGATAAACCAATAAAACACTGCATCCTGTATGCGGATATTGTACAAGTGTTTTATCGCATACTTAGTAATTGTTAGGATAGCAGCATTACAAATCAAGATTACCATAAATAATAGTTCCCACAAGACAATCTACAACCAGGAATTTATCAGACTGCATCTGACAGAGAAAACATGCCACTATCTTTGATGGAGAATTATGCAGGACAAATGCAAGATGATCTAGAAATGGTTATGCATTTGTCTAGTTTTTGCCCATTTATACAAAATTGATACAGAATCAATTTTCATCAATAGTAGTGTGGAGAATAGAATAGCTGTCTGATGACAATTCATCATGGTTAATATCTGTTTATTAGTTGTCAGGCAAACTGATGCAGTAAAACCTGTAGTAGAAGGAAAATAAATTCTGGAACGTAATAGGACGTTTCAAGTAAAATGACCAAATATAATAGATACAAGCACCAGGGTGCTAATGTAACAACGAACGAAGATTAAATGGTTTGAAGGTGAAAGCAAACGCTCAATTTACAACTTCCACTGCTATTACAGCCCTGTGTTTGAGAGGAAATGAGGATAGGGATGACTATAGTCCGTTCCAATGTGATTGGGGGCAGAACCTTTGAATCCATTGTCACATTTGTCAAAAGAAGAACACTATTACTATCTACAAGAAATTAAGATATTCTGGTACCATAAGGGTCAATATGGGGGTGGGGTGTGAATGTTGGTAGGGTGGTTGTAAGATAGAAGAGTTCCACTCCATGAAACAGTATATGTTTCCTCAACAAATTCATAGAGAAACTGATTCAGTTGTCCAAAACAACTCTCCTGAAGCTTTCCCACCATTTTTCACACAGAGTATCTGATATACAGTTTCTTAGATACATGTCTGCAGACTTCAGAAATCTAGGGGGAGACAACTGTAAGCTTACCTTTCATCTGGAAGAAGTTGAGGGTCTGGACGGCATGTAAAACAGGTGTGTTGTCTAACGTCAGCTCAAATTCCGGAGACACCCTCGGAGCAAGTTCCATCTCCTTGTTAAAGTTGGTGTCTGCTGCAGCTACTCGTTCAATCAGTCCATTTGATACCTGAAAACATATAGAACTTTGTTAATGGCTTAAGTATGACATTAGAGAAGGTATAAAACAGTTATAGTTAGGGACAACTATCAGAACATCACCTTGCATAAGTGCTTTTAAATGTTCTCCAAAACAGCAAGGGAAATGTTGTTATGAAGGGATTCTTTTAAAACATAGACCTCTGTCTTGTTGTATACAGTACAGTCAGTATTGGGCAGAGTAGACTGTCTGTATTGACTGTGATCAACCCAACTAAGTGATGATTGTTATATTGTGTGACATGATTAAGTGTGTGTCAGTGCTGTTCAAGCTGTCAGCAACATGTCTGACTAGTCCACCATCCCTGGACCTGTACATACACTTACAGTTTGATGTAACCTAGATGGAATATGCCACTTGGTTTTATGCAATATCACCCCAAGGACTCCCAGAAATGGCGGAAACTGAACCCTTCAACCACCAGGTTACCTCACCATCCTTTTTTATGACAAATACTGAGTGTTTTCCCCTTACATTTGCTAATAATGTACACACAACTTTTGCATTTTGATACTCCTTCCATGAAAGCAGATACTCTCACCAACAGATTGTAAACCTTTTGTAATAGTTGTTTACATAAAGAAATGTGCTTTTCCTCTTTAGGATAAAGAACAAACAAGAAAACAGTCAGAAAAATATCATTTGAACAATTCAAGATGTAATTGTGTGTAATTCTCTTTAGAATCTGTCATGGCCGGCTGATTTCTCTGCGTAAGCTATTTCAACAGTTGGGGGGATGAGGAGGAGGAGGATTCATTAGCTGCACATAATGAGACTGTATGTATTTCCTCAACAAATGCATAGACACTGATTGTATTGTCCACAGCACACAGTGTGTGAAACCACTTAACCATCAACACTTCACTTTTGTCTCATTGCAGCGAACAAAAACTGTGGGAAAAAGCATGGAGAAAAAATGTGGTTTGCAGCATTTCAGCACAAAGTATCTGCCTTTGAATCTACATTGATTGATATGAAGTGGCATAGCTGGCATGGGGTGCAAAGGGTACATGCCTTTTTCTAGACACCTTACATATCAACATGCAATGTGCAGTTTGTTCTTCTTGAGACATGGTCTCAAGAGACCCACATCCAGTCATTTACAGACATCAGGCAGCACAGGTATTGTTCCAAAGCTCATGAAGTAATTTGTGATCATATTAATCATATGTGTTACAGTGTGTGAGACACTGAATAATGGTGGATACCAACAGGTAGGACCACTAGGTCATCTCAACAAGGTTTACAAACTGTGCCACATGCATTCACACTGCATGTCTTAGGGAGGAACATTATCTTGGTATGGCTCATATTGTTTGAGTGAATGTCTACATGATGCAAGTTTTGTCTAGAATTAACAGAATATATATATATACAACAACAACTACTTGCATAACAACATCATCTGACAACTATTTACATGTACACAAGCTTTTCCCAGAACATGGAAGTAGAGCAACACTGTAATCCTCACAACTATTACATAATTCCACCCTTATTCATTATTACAAGTATAGCACTACCTCTTAACAACTACTTTCTAGTATAACACTGTCCTCCCGGCTAGTACTACAAGTATAACAATGCCATCCTAAAGGTGTGTCTTTGTCTTCTTAGCATAACACTACTTCCAGGTATAACACTGTCCTCCCGGCTAGTACTACAAGTATAACAATGCCACTAACACTTCCAGGTATAACACTGTCCTCCCGGCTAGTACTACAAGTATAACAATGCCATCCTAAAGGTGTGTCTTTGTCTTCTTAACATAACACTACTTCCAGGTATAACACTGTCCTCCCGGCTAGTACTACAAGTATAACAATGCCATCCTAAACGTGTGTCTTTGTCTTCTTAACATAACACTACTTCCAGGTATAACACTGTCCTCCCGGCTAGTACTACAAGTATAACAATGCCATCCTAAAGGTGTGTCTTTGTCTTCTTAACATAACACTACTTCCAGGTATAACACTGTCCTCCGGCTAGTTACTACAAGTATAACAATGCCATCCTAAACGTGTGTCTTTGTCTTCTTAACATAACACTACTTCCAGGTATAACACTGTCCTCCCGGATAGTACTACAAGTATAACAATGCCATCCTAAAGGTGTGTCTTTGTCTTCTTAACATAACACTACTTCCAGGTATAACACTGTCCTCCCGGCTAGTACTACAAGTATAACAATGCCATCCTAAACGTGTGTCTTTGTCTTCTTAACATAACACTACTTCCAGGTATAACACTGTCCTCCCGGCTAGTACTACAAGTATAACAATGCCATCCTAAAGGTGTGTCTTTGTCTTCTTAGCATAACACTACTTCCAGGTATAACACTGTCCTCCCGGCTAGTACTACAAGTATAACAATGCCATCCTAAAGGTGTGTCTTTGTCTTCTTAACATAACACTACTTCCAGGTATAACAGTGACTTTCAACATTTACTATTTGTATAACAATATTTGTGTGTCAGTTTACTCTAGTATTGTACTGTCCACTAAGAAAATACAAATACACATAACATTCTCATCCTATCAACTACTAGTAGTACTTTTAAAACAATAAATACTATCATAACAACATGTCCTTAAACCTACTTTTCATAAGCACGTCATCCTTGCAACTACTAAGAAGATGTTGTTCAGCAAATTTATCTTGCACTTCCACTGAGGTATGCTCCCTTCAAGGTGGTACAAGAAAGGACTTGCAATCAAATCTGACACTAGGTCCCCAGGGCACATATATTGGCTTTTTCAACTTGCTTATCTCAAGGTGAGCTTACTTTCTGTTAGGTTACCTATGCCAGTCTTACATTCCTAAAATAGATCTGACATATAATTTCTTAAATGAGAAAAACGTCTACCTGGGGAGACAAAATGGAAAATTATGTGCAGATGGACCCACTAATTGTTTGCAAATTCCAATGCAAGCAGTAACAACAGATCCTTCTGCAAGGCAGAATAACAATACAGGATCCACTTCCCCCAGAGCTGACTTTTCCACATTTAGCCTCTAATTTACAGCTAAGGATATAATGAAGAGCTCAGACTACAAGAAACAGAATGTTAATTTGGTGTATAATTTGTGTTCCATAACATTTAGCATCCTGAAATAAGACAATCATGGGGCTTGTTAACAGAGTTATGTACTTATATAACAGTCTCCAGGAACAGTTGCAAGAATGCTGTTTCAGCATAAAAGTAGTTTGGCATAATCCAAATTTAAAGTCAATGGATGGCTTTCTTCAAAATGGCATCCCCTTTAAAATGTTCAATGAAATGACATCAGAAAATATAACTGAAATGAAGTAAAGTGTGGCACATGTTGACACACTGAGACCCCATACTCATACCTTGGACCCCTCACCAAAGCATAACTGAAAGTTTTCTTTACTTGAAAATAGGTAAGACCAAGGTAAATCCTGAAAAGCCTCTAACTTTATTTATATCAACTAAAGTATTGCAATTGAAGATGGTGATGAGCATGCCATGATGTCTGTGGAAGACATAACATTGGCTGGCAACACTCTCCAGTTTCATCTTGAATACCTTGATACCGTTGTATTAAACCTTGTACTGATGTGTGGTCTGTATGTCGACAAATACGACAAAGCCTTCTCTTGTCATCACATCAACAGAAACAATAAAAACTAGAAAGAAACAGGCAAATGGGTTTTCCACCTCTGTGTTCTATTCCTCAAGCAGTGCAGACCAATCTAGCAGTAAACAGAACTGTTATGACAGTCATGCCACAACACAGCACAGCCTGATTGCAAGGCAATACCAACTTGGAAAAATTAACTCACATGTTTGAAAAACCAACTAAGAGCGAACACAATGTACAAGTTGTGCACCAAGCAACTGTTTAACTCACAACTTAAAGCCTCTCACGTGTATGTTCTGTTTTTTACTTGCATCAAGTTACATTATTGAGTGTTGTTCCATGAGAAGGTATATGCACAGGAACGTCCTGCTCACAGATGCACCTCTTTCGCAGAACATGATACCATGTCATTATACCCATCAGTCACTTACACTCACAACCCCTTCCAACTCCACCACAACTGTTTACAAACAAGCAACATTTTTCAAATGTGCATATATAGATGAACATAGTTTTCACTTATTTCAACACCAAAACTGTCTGTTTCTTATTCTCACTCTGAAGTATGTTTGCATGAAACATATTTATTGGTAATAATCTATTGTGCTTATTTTGACAATACTGCTAGAATTCTAAGGTATTTTACGAAAGAAATAGGATTGTTTGTATGTTTATTGTAATGTTAAAAATAACAACACATGCACAAGACATAAAACCACCTGCCTTTGTGAAAATAATCATTACAAAATTCTACATGTGATATGTGTGTGTGTGTGTGTGTGTATGTTGTTATTACAACACAATTTTGTGAATCAATGAAGAATTTACTGTTTCTAACACTAGTACATTTTGTGTGCATTATTTATTGCATAATGACAGTGATAGTTTCAAATTTCTTGCAATCAACAATGTTGTCATGTGTAAAGCAATACACTAAACAAAATAATAAAACTTGATCCTATGGATTTTACCTAAAGTGATGTTCACCAAAATGAATCATGATTAAAAGGAATGGCTGTTGCTAGTTGACATTATACAGCAAAACCCAGTGGGAAAAATGTACAATATATTGGTGTCCAAGAATGCACTGAAAACACTCCAGAATTAGTTCTGGCCAATCGAGCAGACAAACGCATAACGTCCATTCGACAATTTAACAGGCTGGAGATGAAAGCACCTCTCTAAGGTACAAATCTCACACATACACGTTAGATGGTGCAGAACATCGTAAAGATAAAAAGCCTCGCCACAAAAAAACACAGTGAGTGGTCAGGAAGACGCCAGATACTGTCATGCGATACCAAAGGATCAGTAAAAAGTACCAGGCGTTGAGTTAACTGCCGTTTAAATTCAACCTAAAATTAT